CTTTCAGGTGTCTTAAAAAATGCTCCTTTTCCGTCCTTTTTTTTTTTTTTTTTTTTTTTTGTTAGTAACCAAAAGAGCTCCTTTTGGCTGTGGACGGTGCCTGGAAACGTTTCTCTCCATGTAAAAGAGAATTGGGCTTGTTCTTCAACCCTCTACTAAATCAACCCTTTCTAGACGTTGGCTGCAGGAGGCTGGCTCTTTCTCAGCTCTTTTTTTTTCCTGTGTAGCTTGGTTTTGGGAAGGAGAAAGTCCGGGGTAGGTTCAGTTCAGTCACTTCAGGGTTTTTTTGCCCTTTCCCCCTGCACTCTTGGGGAATGAGAAGGTCCCCCGGCTGCTGAGATGGCAGTCTTGAGCTCTAACCTGGCCTGTCCCCGGGCTGCTGTGCCAGGCGCTGCACGTGCTCGAGAGCCTGGGCGGCTCCGCGGGAGCAGCGTGGCCTGGGGACGCTGCCCATCGCCTGCCCCGGACCTGCCCGCGGGGGAGAGGAGCAGTGACCAGAAACCTGGGGGCGCAGGGGAATCGGACCTACAAAGCCACCTCCACTCACCCGGCCACATGCCCCCTTCCCTGGAGCTCCACCCACGCCTAGCTGTGGGCTCTTTCAGTGTGCACGGGACTCACCCTTTATTGCGGGTAATTTGTATGAGTGTCCTCCCTTCGGGCTCTTCTCAGCCTCTCCGGCCGTTTGCAGCTCCGTCCAACATAAGTTAGTCTTCTGGGTAGGTGATTAGAAACCTCCACTTCTTTCCGAAAGGTACAGCGTTTGCTTTGGGTCAGAGTCCATAGCTTAGCATCTAGCATGTTAGATACATGTCATGTACTTGTACAGACTTGTGCGTGTGGGTTAGTGGATGCTAAAAACTTACACACGTGTGCTAGCAGGGTGGGTAAGTACTGTATCATATGAGATACATTATATACCTGAGGACAGGATAGGTATATTACAGCCTGTGTATTATATGTGTTATAGCACCCATTTATCATGCATACCACCTATATCATGAATATTATATATTACATTCTGATATACCGGATATATTGATATCTCTCTCTCTCTCTCTCTGTATATGAATATTGTATATATCGTGTATATCATAAATATAATCTATATGGTGTAGATCATATAGATTATATTTATTGATATACCCTTGATATAAGGTGATTTATAGTTACAGCAAAGGAAATTCAAGTTGCAGCAAGGGAAGTTTAGGTTAGATATTACCAAAAAAAAAAAAAAAAAAATCTCGCTAGGAGGGTAGTAAAACACTGGAACAGGCTACCCAGAGAGGTTGTGAAATCTCCATCCTTGGAGGTTTTTCAGACCCGGCCAGACAAAGTTTTGGCTGGGATGAGATAGTTGGGGATGGTCCTGCTGTGAGCAGGGGATTGAGCTAGATGGCCCCCTGAGGTCCCGCCCAGCCCTAATTTTCTATGATTCTATAATATAGAGTATCATGGTATATCATTATATATGCTGGCAGGCTGGGTGTTATCTGCATTATAACACGTTATAACATTCATATATATCATGTAAATACCTATCATATATGATACTCGTGATATGTGATATGCATGATCGATAGGATATTCATTACACACACAAACACTCTGAAATACGGGATAGATATGATATTTGTGATATATATGTGTCTATCCCAGGACAGATCGATATAGATGGATCAATCGATCTATCTATCTCTATATATCTATATAGATATATATATCTCATTATACCTAGCTATATATCTATCTATCTATCACGATACACATCACGACCGGGCTGTCACACCTGCCGTGTGTATCATGGTCCCCGGGACGTGCCATGCTACCCAGTGTCCCGCTCTAGCCCGGGCGGACACGCCGCGCTACACGCACTGTGTCGCTTTAAAAAGCCGCCCTAGGCGCGGCCGCGGAGTGCCCTCTGCGGGGTGTCTAGACGAGGGGGCCGCCAGGGCCCGGGGCCGCGCCGCGCGCTTCCAGGAAGCCTCCCACTGCTCGCGGGAGCCGAGGCGCGCCAGAGTTGCGCGCCCAAGAGCCCCGCTCTGCGCGCGCAACGGGGGCACCC